CATGCAGAATTGAGAGATTACTTAAAAATAAAATCTTAAATAAAAATGTCTATCTTCAAGTGTTTACATTAAATAAGAGAAAGATCTTAATAATCTAAGCTCTTACCATAAACATCTAGAAAAAATAATGAAGCGAAGGAAGGAAATAATAGGATGGCAATTAGTGAAATAACGAATAGAAAAATGATAGAGAAAAATCAGCAAAACTAAAAACTGGTTGAGTGGCAGTTGGGTGTTTCAGTTGGTTAAGCATCCAACTCTTGATATTGGCATAGGTCATCTTCTCCGATCATGAGCTCAAGCCCCACATGGGCTCCATGCTGAATGGGGGAGCCTGCTTACTATTCTCCCCGTCCCCTCCCTCTCCTCTCCCCCTCCTCCCTTCCTACTTGCACTCTCTTAAAAAAAAAAAAAAGTTGGTTCTTTGAAAAGATCAACCCATTTGGCACACTTTTAGGTAGACTAAGAAAAAAGGAAGACACAAATCACTAAAATTAAGAATAAAAGAAACCAGGGGCTGGCTCCTAAGTGGCTTAGTATGTCAAGTGGCCAATTCCTGATTTTGCCTCAGGGTCTTGGGTTCCTTGCTCAGTGGGAAGTCTGCTTGAGATTCTCTTTCTCCCAGTGTGCCCCTTCCCCCACTCATTTGCTCCCTCTCTCTCTAAATAAATAAAATCTTAAAAAAAGAATGAAAGAAGGGGGTTTACTGCTGACCTTTCAGATGTTAAAAGGGTTACAGCAGAATACCATGAACAGCTGTATGCCAGCTTAATAATGTAAATGAAGTGAACAAATTTTATAATTCACATTATTAGAATTGACTCAAGAAGCATAAAATCAAATAGACCTATGAAAGGGAAAAAAAATTGAGTAATAACATTCCTACAAAGAAAGGCAGAGACCCAAATGGCTTCCCTGGTAAATTTTATTAAATGATAAAAAATACTACTACTACTTCACAAAATCTTCCCTGAAGAATTTTCAAAACCAGAAGCCCAATATACCACACAAATAGAAAAACAGACCAGTATTCTTCAAGAATAGAGATGCAGATTCCTTGTACAGAATATTAGCAAAGCAAATTCAATGGTATATTTAAAAGATTATCACTCTGATAGTGTGAAATTAATTCCTTTGTACCAAATTTGTTTAACATCCAAAAATCAATTAATATAATATACTGTATTAATAGAATAAAGAGTTAAAACCATATAATCATCTTAACAAACATAGAAAGGGCATTTGACAAAATCCCATACCCATTAATGATTAAAACATGTAACAAATAGCAGTAAATGTCTTCAACTTGACAGAAGGTTTCATTGAAAAACCGCAGTGAATATCTGTTACCAGTAAAAGACTGAATGCTTTTCCCCTACAAATAGGAACAAGACAAGGATGTTCACTGGTGCCTCTTCGGTTAAACACAGTACTGGAGATTCTAGCTAATACTGCCAGGGAAGAAAAGGAAACACACGACATCCTGATTTTTTTCTTTTTTTAAGATTTTATTTGTTTGAGAGAGAGAACATAGGAGAGAGAAAGAGATCACAAGCAGGGGGTAAGGGTAGAGGGAGAAGCAGACTCACCACTGGGGAGGAAGCTTGATGCAAGACTGGATCCCAGGACCCTGGGATCAGGACGTGAGCTGAAGGCAGACCCTTAACCAACTGAGCCATGAAGGTGCCCATAGAAAGAAAACATTAAGGGCTTTTGGGTGGCTCTGTTGGTTAAAGGGTCTGCCTTCAGCTCAGGTCATGATCCCAGTGTCCTGGGATTGAGTCCCACATTGGACTTCGTCGTCAGCAGGAGTCTGCTTCTCCTCCCTCTGCCACTGCACATGCTTGTGCTCTCTCACTCTCAAAGAAATAATCAGTAAATTCATAAAAAGAAATATTAAACTATCCTTTTGCAGATGACACCAACCCATATGTAGAAAATTTTAGGTAATCTTTAAAAAAAATTAGAACTAATGATTGTTCAGCTGGGCCACAGAATAAAGTATCAGTATTAAAAAAGTCTTTTAAAACACAAACAATGTACAGTCCAAAAAAATAGTATGATTCTGTTCAGAATAACATCAAAAAGAATAAAATTCTTAATGAATAAATTGAATAAGGTAATTGGAAGACTTGTACATTAAACATTACAAAAATATGTTAAGGGAAATAAGATGTAAATAAATGCAGAGATATTCTGTTCATAAATTGGATGACTTAATATTGTTACGATGATAATTTTCCTAAGAGTAATTTGTAGATACTACTCACTCAATCTCTGGAAAAATTCGAGGAGGCTTTTATCCAGGAAATGATAACCTTATCCTAAAATTTATGTGGAAATGCTAATGGACAGGAATTGCCAAAAAAATTTTTTATAAAAGAACAAAGTTGAAGAACTTTTTCTACTGAATATCAAAATTATAAAGCTCTAGTTCATTATAGGGGCGCTCAGACTGTCTTAGTCAGTAGAGCATGTGATTCTTGATCTTGAGGTTATAAGTTTGAGTCCTACAGTGTGTGTAGGAATTACTTAAAATCTTAGGGGTGTCTGGGTGGCTCAGTTGGTTAAGCATCTGACTAAGCCTAATTTTAGCTCAGGTTTTGATCTCAGGGTTGTGAGCCACACATCAAACTGCATGCTCAGCAAGCAAAGAGTCTCCTTGAGATTCTCTGTCTCCCTTGGTCCACTGCCCCCTCCAATAAATAAATCTTTAAAAAATAAATAAAATCTTTTTTAAAAAACAAAGCTATAGTTGTACAAGACACTGTTGCACTGGGAGGAGGTAGACATACGCAAATCTCTTGATTAGGATTAAAAATCCAAAAGTCAGTTCATTTTCATCAAGGATGCTGAAGCAATTCATTAGAGAAAAAGTTTGTTTCCACCTCATGGTGGGACAGCTGGTTGCATATCCTTTCATATGCAAGAAGATGAACTTTTTGACCTCTACTCCTACCATATAGAAAAATTAACTTAGAATTGATCATAGACATAAATGTAAGAACTAAAACAATCAATGCTAGAAGAAGAAAAATCTTTAAGATTTTATCTTAGTCAAAGTTTTTTATGAGGTTAAAATAGAAAAAAAAATAAATTGGACCTCATCAAATCCAAAGCTTCTGTGCTTTAAAATATACTGCTAAGGGCAGCCCCTGTGGTTCAGTGGTTTAGCGCTGCCTTCAGTCCAGGGCCTGATCCTGGAGACCTGGGATCAAGTCCCACATCGGGCTCCCAGTATGGAGCCTGCTTCTCCCTCTGCCTGTGTCTCTCTCATGAAAAAATAAATAAAATCTTTAATAAAATAAAATAAGATAAATATATTGTAAAGAAAATAAAAAAGACAAGCAACAGAATGGTTGGTAGTATTTGTTAAAAATTTTTTTGATTGTATCCAAAATTTTCAGAGTACTCATGTAAAGGAACTGGAACCATCTTGTATCGCTTGTAAGAATTTAAAATGGTACAGTCAGCAGTTTGTCAATTTCTTTAAAAAATTATCACCTAATGCAGTAATTAACACTTCTTAGATATCTTAGTGAGACTTGAATACATTTTTCACAAAGCCTTGAATGTGATTGTTCATAACAGCATTATTTTTCATAACCAAAAAATGGTTTGGTTATGAAACAATACTTCATCTGGTGAGTGGTACAAAATGTAGTCTATCTATACAATGGTACTACTTAGCAATAAGATGAAATGAACTAGGGACGCCTGGGTGGCTCAGCGGTTGAGCACCTGCCTTCGGCTCAGGGCATGATCCCGGCGTCCCAGGATCGAGTCCCTCATTGGGCTTGCTGCATGGAGCCTGCTTCTCCCTCTGCCTGTGTCTCTGCTTCTCTTTCTGTTTCTCTCATGAATAAATAAATAAAATCTTAAAAAAAAAAAGAAGGACTGAACTATTGATTTGTTATGACATAGATGAACTTCAAAAACGTTATTTGAAGTATAAGAAACCATACATAGAAGTCATGTATGGCTTCATCTACATTGAATGTCCAGAAAAGGTAAATTTATTAGAAAAAGTTAGATATAGTGATTGCCTAAGGCAGTGGGTGGTAAATGAGCATGAGGCATGTTACTGGAATGAGAAAAACGTTTTATTTATTTATTTTAAGATTTTATTTTTTTATTAATGAGGGAGACAAAGAGAGTGGCAGAGACATAGGCAGAGGGAGAAGTAGGTTCCCTGTGGTAGCCCTGAGATCTTGACCTGATCCAAAGGTGGATGCTCAACCACTGAGCCACCCAGGCACCCTGAGGAAACTGTTTTAAAACTGATTTATTATGGAGATGGTGTACCACTGGATAAAGTTACTAAAATTTGTTGAATTGTGTAATTACAGTGAGTTGGTTTTATTATATGTAAAATGTGTCTCAAGACACACTTTTTTCAAAGGCAAATGTGGGAAATTATATAGTATTATTTTTAACCAGAAGCCTAAAATGTTAATCTGTATATTTTAAAGATTTTATTTATTTATTCATGAGACACAGAAAGGCAGAGATATAGGCAGAGGGAGAAGCGGTCTCTGTGGGGAGCCTGATGGGGCACTCAATCCCAGGACCCTAGGATCAGGACCTGAGCTGAAGGCAGATGCCCAACCACTGAGCCACCCAGGAGTCCTGTAAAATATTTATATTACCTTTTTTTATAAGGTCGTCTAAAATGTAAGGATACATTTTAAGATTTTTGGTTACTTTGAACCTTTACTACTCTGGAATTAGAGCCAGGATCACTGGATATATCAGCGGAACTCCCTTTCAGACTGACGTTAGCATGTGTATGTACTTTTTTATGCTACTATATTTCCTAGATTAAAAACAGAAGACACATTATATCTTCCTTGTCTTTGAAAATCAGTCATAACACTTAGTTTTGTTATTACACGTTTGATATTGTCCCTGAAACCTTTGAAAAGACACCAAACCATTTAAAATGAGCTTTGCTTTACATTTCTTCATTTACTACATTTTTCTTGTTTTATTTGTTTTAGATCACTGTGTCCACTACTATGATCTTCGTAACACTAAACAGCCAATCATGGTATTCAAGGGACACCGAAAAGCAGTCTCTTATGCAAAGTTTGTGAGTGGTGAGGAAATTGTCTCTGCGTGAGTATTACTCTCCTGAGTTTGAGCTTAAACGAGAACTCTGTCATCATTGACTGGTTTTATAACGTCACTGTGGGTATCTGTAAAGAGTAACACCGTGTTATAGCACTTTTTCATAAATAGTAGAGTTTAAAAAATAATTTGTCTAACTAAAATACATGTATATTCTGGTTTGTATTGTTCACTTTTGTATTCTCTTTATGAATAAAATCCTTATTTTATTATATAAAGAGAGTTTTTAATGCACCCCTCCTTCAACATTTGAACTTTAGATGGGATTTCAGCCACTGCTTCTCCTTAAGAGAAAATCAACAAAGTTGATGGAATAGAATAAGAAGCATTTTATCTGTTAAAGTCAATTAATATGTTATTGTATATTTATACACTTTATAGTACAGTAGTATTATTTATGGTTTTAGGGAATATTTGGTTGATTCTGTGTTACTTGATTTCCCTATGATTTTATGGTGAGTTTTAAATATGTTTTGAAAAGAACTAAATGTGGCTTGATACATATCCTTTGAGAAACCTTCTGCACTAGAGAATTATAATGTAAGGTTTAATTGTCTTTTATTTTGTTTGAAGCTTAACAAGATGTCATCCAGATAAATAAATCTCAATTACCAAAATATTGTTGACAAAGCACTTCTAACAGGCAGTCCCTTTTTTCTGTTAACCCAGTTCATAGTTCTCTTTATATTACCCTAGCATATATCCATCTTAATTTCTCCGTATTTTATTTCTTTTCACGCTTAATGATCTTTTTTTTTTTTCCTTCTTTTCACTTAGCTCCCCACCCCACCTTAATTTCTGATCTCTACTCTTAGGAGATTATTAATACCAGTGTTTTGGCATTAATATTTGCTATCCCCCACCATATCTACCTCTCTATACTGGTTACTCTAGATTAGAAATTGGTAATTTGAATTTATTTGGCAAGGTAATTTGAACCTGAGTTACAAACAAGGGATAAAAAGAGAACTGATTTTTCTAAGGCAAGATAATATAGGCAATTAGTTCACAAACCTAAATTATTGTTAACTAATCCAAATGTATCCCATCTTTAGGAATAATAATGGTCAGTAAATAAAATTTTATTCAGATTCAATTGTAGATGGTAGATTATATGGCAAAAATATTTTTCTTCAATTTCAGTTTTATAAATGTTAAATTATTTTGATTTTTAGTAGTTGTAATACATATATACCTAATTGTATAAACTGAGAAATTTTAGTCAACCTTATTAATGTTTATATGTTGTTTATATTTTCACCAATCTCTTGTCCTTCTTAGGTTTTATAAATCATGATTTTTTAAAAATATGTTTGAGGTTTAGAAGTTTTTAGAATAAATTTACCCACAAGTATATTTGGAAGTGTTACAAAGTAATATTAAAATATACATATATTGCCACAACCTCTGAATTCTTGGGCAATAAAAATATATACACAAGTAAATATTCAGTGCCACATTGTTAAGAAAAAAAAATTGAAAACAACATAAATGTCTTTTGAAAAAATAATAACAAGGATTAGAGTTTGGAGTTTGGCGTCTAAGATGAGACAGTTTCAGTCTTGGCTCTGCTTTGGACTAGCTGTGGTATCTTGAAAATATCCATAACCTTCTCATTCTCAGTTGCCTCATCTCTAAAATGGAGTTAATAATAGTTATTATGTTGTGAATCTTTAAATGAAGTAAGCAATGTAAAGATTCAGCATAGTGCCCTATTCTGTGAATGTTATGTAAGAGAAAGATGATTTATTATGTAGTTATTAATGAAGATATCTGAATGTGTTTATTTTAGAGAAAAATTATAAACCAAATTATTGAGTAAATGGTAAACAATTTACAACATAATGTATATGGTATTATCAGATTTTTGTAACAAAAAGAAAAACAAAGACATGGTCTTTTATTGAAGTTTTATGACTGTCTCTATAATAGGATTACCAACGATCTTTATATTTGGTAATTTTTTGGTAAATAATTGCATTTGAATATCATTTCAGTAAATAAATTACTTTATATAGACCATTCCAGTCATTCATAATATTCCACCCCTGTAGATACAACTAAGCTGTGAAAATAGTTTAAATTTAGTATACCAATATAATTCAATATTTGAAAAGTAAATTAATCCCAGTGGCATAGAGTATATCCCTGAAATGAAACACAATTCCCAATGGACCTCTTGTTATTTGATGATGGTGGTATGATGGTATTGAGGAGTAATGTTTATTAGTAAGCATTTCCTACATCTGCAAGGACTATTGAAAGCATTTTAAATGAATTAATTTAGTGTTCACATCTTACAGAATTTTATCTAATTCAATAATACAGGAATTGCTGTATTTCACATAACTAATGATGCCAAAGAAGTTATATCACTGTTTGGTTAATGGTATATTGAACATTGTAACTCAGAAAAACTTCTTCCATAGTTTGCATTCTATACCACCAAACTGGATTGCCTCTAATGAGTAGTTTCAGACCATGAAATCTTAAATGCATTCTCATTTTTTTGTGTTTACCTCAGCTCAACAGACAGCCAGCTAAAGCTATGGAACGTAGGGAAACCATACTGTCTACGTTCCTTCAAGGGTCACATCAATGAAAAAAACTTTGTAGGCCTCGCTTCCAACGGCGATTATATAGCTTGTGGTAAGTAAAATCGTGTTTTCCTGAAACTAATAGGAATTTGTCACTGAAATTGCATTCAGTGAATACAGAGTACATACCAAATCAGGAAGTAATTTGTGCATTCAGCATATTGAATTCTTCTTGGATGGTACTGGAATAAACATTAGTCCTTCCCTCCTTTGCTGAACACAAACCCTAACCGCATGAAATAACGTAAGATTGTTAAATATGTTTTGTAATTGTTCTCCATCATCACATAAGTTCTGTCAATACTATATAAAAGAAAATATTAATTTTTGCTTATGTCCTAATTTCAGAGACATTATTTGTCTTCTTAAGCTTGATGTTCATTTTCCCCTGTAGAGTTTTCTCTTCATTAAGCAGTTTGTTTAGATAGTCTTGATCTGTTATTCTAGGGCTTTTGTTGTTGGTAATTTATGCAAATTTAAAACAGAAGCAGAAAAATCAAATTAGGTAATGTTCAAAGGCTAAATCCACCTAATGCCTAAATATATGAACTTTCATCAGTTTTTCCTAATAACTTGACCTTTATTCAATAAAGTTGTTTATAATGTAAACCCCGCCAAAGCAAATCTCTTGCAATTATTATACTTTGATGGACTACTCAAAAATAAAGGGCTTTTTTTGGACCACTTATCTAATAGAATAATGTCTTTATTGGGGAATGGGATGTACATTTTATAGGTTATTAAAATCTGACTTTGTAAGTGATATAACTTTTTTCCCCCCTCTTAGAAATCTTTCTAAATGTCATGTAAGATTCATGCTCTAATAACAAATTTCTGGTCTTTAGGGGATCCCTGGGTGGCTCAGCAGTTTAGCGCCTGCCTTTGGCCCAGGGTGTGATCCTGGGGTCTCGGGATCCAGTCCCATGTCGGGCTCCCGGCATGGAGTCTGCTTTTCCCTCCTCTTGTGTCTCTGCCTGTCTCTCTCTCTCTCTCTCTCTCTCTCTCTCTCTCTCTCTCTCTGTGTCTATCATAAATAAATAAATCTTTAAAAAAAATTTCTGGTCTTTAAACATCTGCTATAAATGACACTATTTTGCAGAATTTCAGCCTTACCGTTATCAATGTTGTTTTATCATTTAACAATTATTATTTCTTTAGTAAAGTGTAGCTTTTTTCTATGAATCTTTTTCTCACATGATTCCTAAGAAATCCTGTGCTTTGGTCTTTTATATTCAACCTGTAGGAGTTGTCTTTTAGCTTAAACATTGAATAATAATTACCTTATGAATGTGATATCTTAATTGTGAGTTCTCCCATTCTAAAAAATCATTAAAAAAATTTTTTTTTCAGGAAGTGAGAACAACTCTCTTTACTTATACTATAAAGGACTTTCTAAGACTTTGCTAACTTTTAAGTTTGATACGGTCAAAAGTGTTCTGGATAAAGACCGAAAAGAAGATGATACAAATGAATTTGTTAGTGCCGTGTGCTGGAGGGCATTGCCAGATGGGGTAAGTTTTCATATCAATTTTTTCACCTGGATGTCTCATATAACACTTTATGTATTCACATGTGAATTTTTTTAAGTTTAAAATAAAAATTGATATGTGATACACATTTTCTGTTTTGCCCACTATTGCATCACTAAAGGAAATAGACATTTTAGGTAGTTATTGAAATGTCACTAATGGAATAATGTCACACTGATAAATGTCTTTCCTACGTACTCATAGTATCTTGTCCATATTCTGTTTTAGCATTATCACATTGTCTATTTATATCTCTTCTGTAAGACTGGAAAATGCAAGGAGTACACACTGTTTCTCATTTTCCTTAATGATCATATGCCGTATATACTCAATAAACATTTAACTGAACCTGGTATTGTTTTTGCAAGAAAAACATTTGATGTAGGTAAAGGAGAGTGCCCTATGTGTACACCTAATTAAATACTATTTCAGGGCAGATTTACTCTGTACAAAACAAACTTATACAAGAATATCTAAAAACATTTAATTTCTTAATAAGAAATTTGCACTTCTAGATAGCAAAAAGTTTGCTCAAATTTGTCATTTATGTTGTCACTTATTCCTACATTTTAAAGTATAAGCTTTCCCATAAGTTATATGGAGAAATAACTGTATTTATTACAAACAATAGTCACTCACTAATGTTTTGGAAAAATAGCTCTTTAGGTGCTTATTTGGTTGTTTTTATTTTTGATACAGAAATTCTTCTTTGAGGTGTACTTTAAGAATTTGATTTATAGGTACTATTTAACTTTAATTAGATATATTCCATTACTGTCTTATTTAAAGTTCTGTTATTCAATTTCCAATTTTGGCAATGGGAGACTAGATGATTTGTACTAATATTCCTTGTAAGTAGAACTAGAAAAGTTGGACCAAGTATATTTATTTTATTTTATTTTTATTTATTTATTTTTTTAAAGTATATTTATTTTAAAAACAACAACAGAAACCTGTTTGAAAACATTGGAATGTAAAAAGATAGAAAAGAATTACCAGTACAGGAATGTGACCCTGGCTTTTGAGTATGCTTTTCCTCTGGGATCCTTTGCCAGTCGTGGTAGAATGGCTGAGAGCACCTATGGCAGCTTCATAGGGGCACAGGGATTGGAGTCTAGTGCTCACCACTGTGTGGGTGAACTCACTTTGGTTTAGGTCCCCAAAAGGGCTAGGGTCTAGGGTGAACTAGTTTGTAGAACATAAACTCTCAAAGTGATTACAATTCCGGATTGTATCAATCTTGAAATTAAATTGAAGTGTTCCTAGATTGCTAGTTAAAATTAAATCCTCTTTGAAAGAAGATTGAGAAAAAATCATCTAGGGATTTAGTTTTTTTTTTTTTTAACTACAAATACAGTAGGTCACAATAAAAAATTGACAGACATAGGAAAAGGCAAGACGTTATAAGTTAATTCAGCATAAGCAGTGGACAATAGTAACAAAATCACAGCACTTCTGGATATTGGAGTTAGCAGATGTAGCTTAAAAATAACCATGCTGACAAGATAAAAGACACAATTGAAAATTTCAACTGGTAACTAAAAACCTATTTTAAAAATGAAAATCCTAGAAGTGGAAAATTGTAATTGCCAAAATTAAGAACTCAGTGGATGGATTGTATGGAAGATAAGACAGAGTTGGAAAGAGAATCTATGGACCTGTAGTAAGTTAGAAGAAAATATACAGAAGGAAGCATAGAGAGACAAATAGTGGAAAAAACTACAGAAAATAGATAAAGGATGAAGTAAGAAAGTTTATTCAATAGAAGACCTAAAAGGAGAGAAAAGAAATAGTGCACCTGAAGCAAATATTAGAAGGGATTATTCTTGAGAACTTTACAAAATTGATGAAAGACATCAAGGCAGAGATTCAATTAGCCCTTGTACCCCAAAGAATAAATCTACAATGTGAGTAAAGATTTAATATTATACTTGGACCATGAAGAAATTTAGACTTGCCTGAAAATCTGACCTTGGATCTGCCATCTCATAGTACCACTTTGTGGAAATGTGCTCAATTAGCAAAAACATGGAATGTTATTGCTAGCAGCTAGTTATCTCTTAAATTTACTATGAAACCCCATCTATACTATTGCATGTGGACTTAGAAAACTGTGAGTTGGCATATTGGCCTTACATCTATCCAAAGTAAACAATATAAGACTGACAGGAAACCAAGGCACATCTCTGTGTCTAGAACCACATGCACTCTAACTGTCCTTGGCAACTATATGTCCCCTTATGTGGGCTCGGGAGAGATGCAAGAAGCTTTGCATGCGTATAGTTGCTTGCCCTCCTAATGAGTTGGAAGATGTGCATGCTGAATTTCCTAGCCTATATTCCACACCTCTCCATAAAGCTAACTAACCTAGTTCAAGACTAAAGCTAGTTGTATCTGGTCCTGTGACCCCTGCTGGTGGAGGGGCAGCCACTCTTTGACACATCATAATAAAACTATTGAAAGTAAATGCAAAGGGACATTGTTAAAATAAGGGGAAAAGTTACTGTCTTCAGAAGACCAGCAATTAGACTGATAGCCAACTTCTCATGAAGCAATAGAAGCCAGAGTTGGTGGAACTAGAGCCTCACTGTGTAAAGGGAAATACCTGCCAATCTAAATTTCTCTATGCAGTGAAAATCTCTCAAGACAAGAGTAAAATGAAGACACTTTTAGATAAGTAAACATGAAGAATTTGCCACCAGTGGACCTACACTAAAGAAAACCTGAAAGGATATTCTTAATGCAGAAGAAAAAGATGTAGAAGATGAAGATGAAAGAGATGCAGAAGATGGAGAAAGATGAAGGAATAGAAATCCTGGAAAGTAATAGAAGTAATAGAAGTGGTAATATGCAGCAAATCTAAATGCATATTGACTATAGAAAGCAATGATGCATTGTTGTATTTAATAAGCACATAGAATTAAGTATTTAACAGTAATAACATAAGCCAGAAAGATAAATGTGTTTAAAATGTTCTCAAGAATTTACCTTGTCAGAGAAGGAAGTAAAAAAAACTATTAGACTGAAAGGCCTGCATATTGTAGTTTATAGAATAACCTATAAAGTAGATTCTTAAAGTTTGCTACCTTGATCAGCAGCATCAGCGTCACCTAGGAACTTGCTTTTATTTCCCAATAAAAAGATTAAGAGAAAAGTTCTCTAACTTACTTCATTATCAGTCCAGATTTATCTTAAGTTTGATTTTTATATAGCAGTCACTTTGATTAGGCATGAAAAATGACTTCATTTCTCTATTTTAGATGAGGCAGAAAGTGTAAGAGACTCATTTATTCAACAGATATTTATTATGTACAGTCATAGTTCTAGATATGGAAGATAAACTTGAACAAAACTGTAAGAAAAACTCTGGCCCTCTTAGGAAACTTAAAATTTTATGTGCCAGAGGAGACAAAAAACAAAATAAGTAAGTTGTTATATTGAAGGTGATGGTGACTTGGAGAAAAACAAAGCAGGAGAGTGGGACAGGGAGGGCTAAAATAGGGGTTTGTAGTTTTCAGTGGTGGTGACAGATTCAACTACGTGATTCGTGAATTAGAGCAAAGACAAGGACATGAAGATGTAATCCATGTTTAAATGTGGAAGGGTATTTAAGGTGGAGCAAACAGTGCAGAGGCCTTGGAGTAAGAAAGTAATTGGTGTTTGGGGAACAGAAAGAAGGCCGGTATTGCTGCATGACAGTGAACTAGGTGGAAGGTAGTTAATTTTAAAGTGGTGGAGAAGAACCATTTCAGCAGAGTATTGTATACCAAAAGTCTGGACTTTGGCTTTTACCAGATGTGAGTTGAAGCCATTTTAAGATTTTGAGCAAACGAATGATACAATCTGACTTAAATTTTTTAAAAATCAGTTTGTGTTGTAGAGAACAGACTAGGTGTCAAGAACGGAAGCAGGAAGACTATTACAATAATCCAGGTAAGAGAACAAAGTGGTATACCAGTGAGAAGTAGTTGGATCCCGTTCATATTTTGATCATGGAACCAATAAATGCATGTGGAGAATGAAAGAGAAAAGTTAGGGTGATGCTGAGGTTTATTCCCCCATAACTTAAGGAGTGGAGTTGCCAGTAATTGAGGAAAAGACTACCAGAAGTGTCTTGGAGAAGAACAGGAGGTGACTTTTGTACTGGTTAAGTTTGAGAATTACTAAAAATACCAAGTAGCGATGTTAAGTTTGAGATATACTTGCCTTCTTAGTGAATATACCAAGTTTGGAGCTCACAGCAGATTGTGGGATCAGAGATAGACGGCAGCCCTGATGTTTAAGCCAAGAAATTGCATGGTATCTCTGCAAGGGAGTCTAATTAGATATTAGAAGTAGTGTGAATACCATACTTTGGAGGGACCTTAATGTTTAGTGATTGAAGCAACAAGAAGGAACCAACAAAGGTTGAGAAAGAGTAGATCTCTTTATAGTAAGAAAGCTGGTGCCTGGGAAGCCAAGTTAAAGTTTTTCAAGGAGGAGGGATTGATTGGCTTTGTCAAATGCTACTAATAACAAGTAGGATGATTAAAAAAATGAAAGGAATAGTATGAGAAAAGCTTGATTGGAGTATTTTTAAGAAAGAAAAGGAAAGGAAAAGTTGGAGATAGTGAAATACAGAGAGCTGTTTTGGGGAGTAGTAAAATAATACCATGTTTAATATCACCTAGGTTACTTTGTTAAAATATGAAATCAGTAGCTGCCTCTCAGACATTTCATTGTCTTTCTGTCCTTTATTTCTATCCTATCTATCCTACCTAATTTTGACTGCAAAAAAAGATATCAATTTAAGGACACTTACAAAATAGCTTAACTTTGGAAGTTTTTAGTTTTTGGACAAATATCAGTGATGTATCAATTTACTGTATAAAGGAAAATGACCTAAAACTCTTCAATTAATGATAGTATAAAAATTGCGTATGCTTTTATGTTATTTATGGCAGTGATTTAGTCATAGGGAGGGAATGAGAAATTAAGAATGAGTCGTAGAGGGAAAGGCATGAAGACGAATAGATACATTCTTTTAGGACAGTATCTCAGTCTTATCAAAATTTAGGATATTCCTACAGATTAAATTTCTGTTTAACCTTGTTTTTTTCTATAACCTAGATTAGGTATCTAGGTTATAGAAAATCTAGATATATAATCTAGGTTATATCTATATGTTTCTTTTTTTAGCCACTTCTGTGTAAAAATGAACCAACCAGTAATTTCAAGCCCTGTTTTGAACCATCAGCCAAGATCATATATAATTCCCATTCTTTTTATTTCTACCGACCTTCAAGTAAACTGGAAAGAGTGTTACGTTGCACGCTGCCCTTTTTAAGCTGTTGGTCTGCGCTATTGTAGTAGTATTTATTGTATCTCCTCTCCTTTATTCAGGGAAATTAATAGCATACTTCTCTCATACCTTCATGTTTGCTATATGGTCTATTTTGCTTTAGAATTACAATTTTTACTTTTAATCTCACTTAAAGACAGAATATTTCTAATGTTCCTTTTTAAGATTTTATTTATTCTTTAGGGTGGGGGGGAAGCTAGGGGGCGTGTGTGCACAAGCAGGGGGAGGGGCAGGAGAGAGGAAGAAGCAAACTCCCTGCTCAGCAGGGAGCCTAAGAAGGGGCTGATCCCAGGACTCAGAGATCACGACCTGACTGGCCACCCAGGTGCCCCTAGAGTTACTTCTTTTAATCTGAGAAATGATACTTTGCCCTTTGTCTGTTTTTTTTCCTTTCTATGTTCCCCTGTATCTAAAAGCACCTTCGTTCAGTCACTTTTGGGGTTGATGACAGATTCTTCTGTCCTTTGTTCCTTAGCTTTGTCTTGCAGTTGTAGTTGCTCTAGCATTTCTACCATTTAAATGCCAAAATCTCTTCAACCATATTTAATTTTCAAAGGAATTTTGAGATGTTTCATTTGAACTCTGCTGAAAATTCTTTTCGTTTTTTAGAAGAATTTTAATTGCAACCTAGAAATAAAGGTCTCTACAGTAGAAACGAGAGTGATTATATGAATGATGAATAAAGAATTGTTTATATTTTGGTTTTAGTTTATTATTTTAATTCACTTTGAAGACATTTTAACTAAAGAAACCTTAGTAGTTTAGAGTTACTGATATAAGATGTTCTATTATTGCCAAATTATTAGGGTTTTTCTTTCCAAGACCAAATCTTACTGTTTATATTGCCTACATCAGAATTAATTTTCATGATTTTTAAAATAATAGATTTGTGAGAAATAACTACTAAGAATAAGACAGGTCATTTTACCTTTGTTTAGGATTTTGAATTTATTTCCTCATTGGTTATTTTTTTAATTATAAATGAGGAGAACTTCATCATATGTTTAACTTGCTGTAATAAAGGAACTTTGCTATCCGCTTACTTGAAGAAGAACTGTAAATTCTAAAACTGTGTATTTGAATGTATTGTGTCCATATTACACATCCAGATACATTCCATTTGAATGATGATTATACAATCTTTGAAGTAAATGTGGTTTGCTGTATTTCCATAGATCGCAGTCAGATTTATACTTTTGAATATACAAAATGGTGGGCAGTTTCAATTCATTTTTTGACTCTACTTCTTTGAAAAGTACCACATAATTTAGTTGGCTTCTTGTGTCCAGATGTAGTAAAATTTGCTGATACTTCTTAGAAGCAGCCATCTGTATTAATAAAGCCTATGGGTAATTGACAGTCTATGTCAGTTGTAGTTTCAACCTTTCTTTTTAAAATATACTATATATTCACAATTTTCAGTAGATATTAATATGGTCTAACATAGTTTTTTATTCCTCCCTCCCTTCCATCCTTTTTCCTTCCTTTCTATGACATCCCTAAATCCTCAAATCCTTTTAGGTATACCTAAAAGGCAGTAGTGATATGCTCAGGATAATTCATTAACTAAATAATTATTCTTAACTAATTAAGAGTTGATTCAGAGAAAAATTTTTGCAATTTAAAGAGGGCGTAGGGGTCAATCCTTGGCAAAAATCACTATGATGGTGTATAAAGTCATCATCTTGGAACATTATCTCTTAGGATTTTTTACTAGATGATCATTATTGTAATTTATTACTCAAATAATTAGAAATGAGTACATGTATATTTAAAAGTATTTATAAAAGCAAAAAGTAGAAAAAATATTTATTAGCACTTTTTCCAGAAATAATCCATAGTAAAGTTGAATATAATTAATGTTATTTTCCATTCATGGGTAGTGTGTGTGTGTGGGGGGGGGTTTAAAGATTTTATTTATTTATTCATGGGAGACATAGAGACCGGGAGACAGAGACATAGGCAGAGGGAGAAGCAGGCTCCATGCAGGGCACCTGATGTGGAACTTGATCCTGGGACTCCAGGATCACGCCCTGAACCAAAGGCACATGCTCAACTGCTGAGTCACCCAGGCGTCCCATTGTTTGTTTTTTTAATAAACTTGAGTATTTTACGTATTATCATGTATTCTCTTATTTTTTTCAGGTATTCTTTATATTTTGCCTTTATTAACTTTTAAAAACTATTTTTAGTGGCTACATATTATTCTATTCTAAAAATTTACTATAATTTGCATAACATTGTTTTGTTGAGAATATTAATGTTTACTTTTTACTAGTATATAACTACTAATTTGATTACTTGAATATTTTTGCAATAAATCTTTAAATTTCTAATTAATTCTTTAGAAGAGAACCTTTAAGATATATCCATTTAAAGAGAATGAATACTTTTAAGACTTTTGATTGAAATTAACTTGCCTTCCAGAAAAGTTTATTTATATTTTCTCTCGCACCAAGAAACAAGAAAGTCCAGGGGGTTCATTTTCACTATGTGCATCAAATGTGGGATATAATGCCAGTATCTTGACAGGTTGAAAATACTCTGTTAGTAAATACGTAATTATTTTTAATTAATTGTTACCCTAAGTATTTTCTAAAACATTAACTTCTGATTTTTTACAAACTGTGTACGTACATGCTGAGAATTATTTTTTTAAAAGATAAATTCTTGCTTGAATAAGAAATACCATGCAATTGAAATACTGTTTTATAATCATAGTCTTTTGGCAGTTTGGTGTTTGTAATTAAAATCTATTCCACTATCTCCCACACCCTATAGTCTTGAAAGTAAAGCTTTAAAGCTAAGGTAAATACTGGTTATTCATGATTTTTTTTTTTTTTAATCATCACTGCTTTATTCAGAGACTGGAGTTAGGTAGAAGAGATTTTGTATGTTCTGTATCTGTGGATCCTTCTGTTGGCATGTCCCTTACTTAGAACTGTTGGAATGAAATATAAATTGACTCAAGAATGCAAATGACTATTTCTGTTGTTAAGTCATCATTTCTATTTAAAGGGACACTATATTTTTGTTGGAAGCAGATCTTGAGTCCATGTAACTCTCACTGAGACTGCACAGGGTGCCCCCATTATTCTTTTATCAGTTCTGAATCACATCATACATACTTACCTGATCTTGGGTCACCAATTCTAAGTGGATATCTAATGGGAAAAGGCAGTGTTCATAAAGGACACTTAACATTTCCTTAGCTCTTCAAAAGTGATAAAGAAAATGTATACTCTATCCTCAGAAAAACCATTTGTTATTAAGGGTGGTTATTTTCTCTTGTGGTTTGAAACACCAGGATTCATTGAAAGTTTCCATAATTCTAAAATGAAGGATGTCGGGACAGGAATATTCCTCCCTTGAAACCAAGTCCAGCAAACCTTGGCTTGGGAATCTGTCAGCTAGGTTAAATCACTCCTACTATACATAGTTATAACCATACTAAGGGGGAGCATCTTTTTTAGTCATTGTAAAATACATTTCTATATTTTATTTATTTATTTATTTTTAAAGATTTTATTTATTTATTCATGAGAGACACACACAGAGAGAGAGAGAGGCAGAGACAGAGACCCAGCAGAGG